TCCCTTCACCCCACTTCTCCAGGTGCTCACAACGAGGCCTATGGGCTTCCTCACCAGCCTCCGGTCTACAGGGTGAAGGATGTAACGCTGACTTTAGGGACCCCACACGCCGCCCTTCTCCCATCTCCCTTGAGCTGGCGCAGTGAAAGGTCAGCTAACAACCTCCAGTTGCTGCAGCTTTTCAGGCGTTATGATTCCCACAGCTCTCTCCGCTACTCCACACCCTGGGACATACGTAGTAACGAGAACAGCCTAATAGTCTGCTGAAATTGAGAAACTGCATGCACCCAGCAGCCCCCTAATCTACTAACCTAGTTATTCCATCAATACGGAAGTGAAGTTAATTTAACATGACTTTCCTTAGTGAACTCCTGGTGACTACTAGCAACCTCCACACTCATTTCTAAAAAGCACACAAACCATCTGCTCCCTGTCTCTGCCAGCAATCAGCCTGCGGCTTGCTGGCTGGGATGATTATTAGAATTTACCCTCTGCTACCATCACAGATTCATTTGACTTTCTTATCTTAAGGCAACTATTGCCTGGCACAGACGTAGAACTTCTTTCATTTTCCATGGCATTTTAAAAATCAACTGCATTCCCAAATTGCTTCCCTTCCCCAGATCTAGCCCTAAAGATGGAAGCCACAGAAAAGGCCTCTCCATTCATTTATTCCGTATCACAGAGTACCTGCTGTGTGCCTGGCACCGTGCTGTTTGCAGCCTGCACTTCACAGCTCTGCTGGAAGAGAATGAACGTGGCCGGGGGCTGACATCTGCTGGCCTTGACCATCAGCCCCAAGAAATTCAACATCATTTCCCCTCCTCTTCTGAATTATGATTATACAAGCCCCACTGGTATCGGAGGCATTTTATTGCTTCATTTCAGCAAAATATATAGAACATAAAACATGCCCTTGGACAGGTCAAGCGTATAATTCAGTGCCACTAAGCTCATGCACAATGTATACGACTATCATTATCCAAACTCTTCCATCACCCCAGAAAGAAACTGTAGAAATCTGAGCCAATAATTCTCTCTCCTCTCAGCCCCTGGAAACCTCTAATCTACATACGTACTTCTGTCTCTATGGGATTGCCTGTTCTGGATATGGTTTCTATATGTGGAATTTTTGTGTCTGGCTTAATTCATTCCCCCAGCATAGTGTCTTCAAGGTTCATACAGCGCGTAGCAGGTATCAGTCCTTTGTTGATTAGGAGTATTTCTTCACATGAACACACCGCGTGTCGTTTACCTATTCATCCTCTGATGGACACAGACTGTTTCCATCTCCGGCTATGATGAATAATGTTGTGCTGGTGTACAAGTGTCTGAATGCTGTTTCTCCAGTCTCTGGGGGATGCACCTAGCAATGAACTTGCTGGCTCATATGATCCTTTTATGCTTAGCTTTTTAAGGCTCTACTCAGCTGCTCTCCGTGGTCACTGAATCATTTTACATTTCCTTCCCTGCATATTGCAAGGGCTTCATTTTTCTTCTTTTTCTAACAATATTTACTTCCTTCTGGACTGGAGTCTCCCTCACACTATTCTTATAAGTTTGCTTTTCATACTCATTCTTTTCTTAGTCCTAATGATTCTTTAAAAATCAGAATTCAGCAGAGACTTCCCACGCTCTACCATAACATGCTGTGCTAGAGAATAGATTGTTGCCTCCCACTGGTCTCTTTAAGATAATAAACTGTAAGCCAGGCACAAAGATGCACACCTGTAACCGTGTACTCTGGGAGGCTTAGGTAGGAGGGCTAAAAGTTTGAACCTAAGCTGGGCAACTCAGTAAGACCCTGTCAAAAGAAGGAAGGAAGGGAGGGAGGGAGGAAGGAGGAGCCAAGAATGTAGCTCAGTGCAAAAGGCCTGGGTTCAATCTCCAGGATAACATGGGGGAGGAGGAGGGACAGACAGAGACAGAGAGAGACAGTGGGGTGCTGGACTAGAATTCCACCACTCTTTCCCGCTCTGTGCTCTATAAACTGGGGCAATAAGTACTTATTAACTAGGATTACTTTCCAGTGGTTGCAATAAAAAAATTTACCACATAGTTAATGGTTTAAAACAACATAAAACTGTTAACTTCTAACTCTGGAGGTCAGAGCAGAGTTGGTTTCCTCGACGCTCCCAGCCAGCAGAGGCCCCATCTCTGTCCTTAGAGCCATCCAAGGCCAGAGGAGTCTCCAGTCTCACCCACAACTCTGGACAGTGGACTTTGATTTCAAGGGCCCATAATCTCCCATTTAAGCTCACCAGAGACATCATAATGCCTTGCCTCTAAGGCTGTTCCAAGACCATCTGGGTTTCCAAGTCCTTTCCAGTCCTTGAGCTCTAGGCTTGAAGACAGACGCTTCTGTATAAAGCACCTCCATGCATTCAGCAAACCCCCACCGAGTTTCGAGTCAATGACACGAAGCCCAGAAAGTACTTCAGGCCTGGCACACAGTAAGCACTTCACCAAGGGACCTGTCGCCATCTGGCCACCCTCACAATCTCTTTTGGCAGTAAGGGCCAAGCCACCTGTTGCCTGAACTTCCTGAGATCTGTGTCCCTGCAATCCAAGGATGTGCCGCTTTGTTTCCAACCATCAGTCCGCTGTGACTCCCAAGGCTGCAGAGCACCATCTTCATCAGACGATGAAACGTGCTTTTCTCGGACAGCCACACGCTTCCACCCCAGGTGCCCATGTCTACCTTGCAGGCCAGCCTGGCTCCCTCTCAGGTCACAGATGAAGTAATTCTTTATGGTGGACACAGAACCACCTGAGGCCCCAAGGTTTCTTCCTCACAGCTGCTCTGGTATTACCCGCTTGAGGTCATTTTGCTTTTAAATGCTGTAAGTACTGCCTCCCTTTGTATCAGGTTTTCAAATTTAGGCGATCCCTTTCCCACGTCCTATCTCAAAATTGTACTTGAAACTCCCGGTGGGGTCAGACAGGTCTGTCACAGGTCAGCAGATCTGGGAACGAGGGAGCCCTGCAGTCTGAGACGCTGGGCTGTGGAGTTGGAGATCCTAGGAGGGGCGGGGGCGCTGGAGGAGACCACAGCTCGGGGACTGGAGCTCATCCAGATGGCCCTGGCCCGGCCACCTCCACCAGGAGCTTCCATTGTGTGGTCGGTGCCCGCGGGGCAAACCTTCTGCTCTCCTTTCCAAAAAGTTGGGTTACATCCTCCCATTCATCAGCCGCTGGCCACAATTTCCTCCTGTTGCCTCAGAAATCCTATTTTCGTCCTGAATTCCTCCTGGGTTCTCTTTCTTCTGAGGACAATCCATCCTTGCTAATAAAGCCACGGAAGGGAAGCCCCTTTTGTGGTCCACTTGCACAGGAAAACGGGCTCTCGCCAGGGCAGAGACAGCGCAGCTACAGCCAGCCCGTGGTCCTTCCGTCTCCTTCCGGCCCACAGATCTGCAGATTGGCCGAGGTCCCAACTCTCCTCCAGATCCCCAATTAGGCGGCCAGCCCTGCTGAGTGTCCACGTCATCCCTGGGTCACTGTGTGCAGGGAGGCAGCTCTGCGATGTCTGGAAATCCCAGGAATCCAAATCTCTCATTAACCACACCCAGGAATAATCTGTCTTGGTACCCTGGACAGCCAGCAGCAAGAGGCAGGAATACTACCAACTTGGCGCATCTCTCTGGCTTTGTCATTGTATTTAGGAATTATAGCCTTGCCAAGTTCATGTTATGGTTAAGGACATTAGGGGGGAAAACACAAATGTAAATAAATTATAATTATACAAAAACGGCATAAAAGCCTCAAGGGAAAAAAACGGGGAGCTAAATGAATAAGGCACAATATGGATAAATCGTAGTGAGCATAAGAGACTCAGAGTATTCCAATTAACAAGGACAGTTGGGTGAATTTTAACTAAATGCTCCATACTTAAAATATGAACATACAATGTAAAGACTACTTGAATATCTCAATTTTGCTATTGTGAAACCACTGCAATTGTTATAAAAGTACATTCCCTATTCCTATAAAAAATAGGGACAGGAACCTTTAAAAATCATAAACACTAGCATCATTTACAGGTTTAAAGTGTATTTTCCATCACCAAGCAACAGGAATTCTGGGCCTTAATGACTCTAAAAGCCTTTAGTGATTTTCATTTTGTAGAGCAGAGGGTGTTGGGGGCCCATGTGCTCCCCTAGAAACTGAGAGATCTAACAAGATGGTCTTGGCAGCAGGACCTCTGCTCCGTTCCAGGGTCACAGAGCATCCCAGGTCCCCAGGGGAGGAGCTGTGTTCCCCTCCCCGCCCCCACGGAGCTCAGCAAGCCCATGACAAGCATGCTGGCTGCGGTTCGTTCATCTGTGGCCCAGCACTGTAATGTCAGGTCTTACAAATTTCAGCCAAAATAGTTTTTAATTACTAGCACGTCTCAAAAGAGTACATCTGCATCAAATGTCAGCCGGCCCAGGAATGTGAACCAGCTCAGAGAAAGAATCTGCCAGCAAAGTCCTGGTTCTGTTCTTCTAAAGAGAGTCAGCAAAGCCAGAGCAGAATCCGCACTCAGGCACAGCTCTGCAGGGTGTTTATTAACCAGTGCTCACAAAGTGAAAACAAAACTGATACAGCAGAAAAACGACTATTTTTCTGTTCAGTTTTCCATGAAGATTGTTATGGAAATTATTATTATTATTCTTAGCAGGCAATCAAAAAGTCAGTTTTTTGCTGGCCTAGGTCTCTCACTTAAACCTTAGGAAGCACTGTTCTCCACAGATTCCTCTTGGTGATTCTGAAGCCAAAGGGAGGTGGTTACACAAGGGCCTCTTAGGGCAGTGATGGCGAACCTTTTAGAGCGTTCAATGGTACAAACAGCCCACTGCGGCACTTGTGCCACAGGCTCATCACCACTGCTCCAGGTCCTAAAGTGCGTGTTTTGCTCAGCTCTGGCTACTCAGCTCCAATCCCCTCGGCCCTGCCTTGTCCCTTCCCACCATGCCCGCCAGTCCTGGCCAGGAAGCAGCCAGATGCTCCTGCCGTACCTGCCGTTCCTGGTGTCATGCTGCCGCATGTTCTTGATAAAATGAATCTTCTTAAAATTCTTTGGTCTGGGCGAACCTGAGAGAGTTCGACATCTGAAACATAAAGTCATTGCAAAAACATAGTCAGTTGCGTGCTGAACGGCTGAGACACCTCCACACAAAGACAGGAAGGAAAGACCAGGCAAATGCTTTAAGTCACCCGAGGCAGGCAGGAGTTGCAGGATAATAAAACAATGCAGCTGGAAGCAAAGCTTTAAAAAACCCAGTGACAGACAACTTCCTTGATAACACCAGTAATAATTCATATGCTCTGAAAGCCAGCTAATGAAAACTATTGTCTGAGTTACAATAACTTAACCTATCCAGGTTCCAAGGACGTTATCCTTTATTGTCACTTTATTGTCATTAAAAAGAATCCTCCTCAATCAACATAGGCAAAAGGAACAGAAAGTTATAAATTCAAAGAATCCAGAGCTGGGGAGATAACATGGAAAGTTCAGTTTAAAAACAACCTTGAATCATTTTTCTTCCAGAGCAGGATTCTGGTCTGAATTAGCTGGACAGTTGCCTCAACTCCTAATCTGCCTACACCTGGGAAGCCACTGGTTAAATGTGAGTAAGAATGGAAGATTCAGTTGGTTACTGTTTTTGAAGTTTGTTTAACAGACAAAAACAAAACAAAACAACCCTTTCTAACCACAGTGCGGGCTCCTTTTGCTTTAGAAAGCAAAAGAGTAGGCCCAGCTCCTCCGGGGCATCACTGAACTCAGCCAGTTCGAATTCAGGGGCTTCGGGCAAAGGGTGACAGCACCACCCAGGTGACAGAGCTGTGGGAAGGTGGCCTGCAAAGCGGGCAGGGGAAGGACAGGGTCCAGGCCAATGGGGTCCCAATCGTCTCTCAGGTCCGAGGCAGGGGCATCGAGCATGGCGCACCACCATGCCCCCAGCCCACCCTCTGGCGAGGGTCAGGCTTTCCGGAACGCTTTCCCACCGCACACCGAACACTCTCGTTCCTTAAGAAACAGCACCTTAAAATGAACTACTTGGATAAACACCACTGAGCGGAATGAAAGCAGCCCCAGGCTCACAGATACTCATTGGGTGGCTTTCACTGGGAAAGGGCCTTTCATGGGCCATGGGTCCAGAGCAGGACCACAACAGAGACCACCCCGTCCCAGCCTCCTCAATGAGCTCCCCGTGGCTCTGACCAAGGCCACTCCAGGGTCCAACTGTGGCACATGTCAGTATTCCAGACCCCTCCGCCACTGCTGCTGAGAGCCAAACGGTCATGTACAAGCTTCCTAAACGATCGAGTGACACACTCAAACACATGTGCTTGATCACACCCCCCAACGCTCTCACACAAATTTCTAGCACTGCTATATTATTAACCAATACTAGCTGCAAGCAGTGCCTGTTCAGCTATTTGCCTCCATAGTCTCAAAGCTGAAGCCCTTGTTACAGGTGCTGTATTTCTTAGCTATAAACAAAGGTTCAAGACCCACAGAACGCTGCCTGAAAGCCCCTAGCAGATGCTTCCTGGGGGCTCTGAGCAGGACTGACACAGGGGACCCTCTAACTCCTGCCCCAATCCGGGCTTCCAAACCTGGAATCCAGATTCGACCAGGCCAGGACTCAAGGGAATACAGTCTCCCTCTCTTCCCCAGAGTCCCAAACTGTTCCCATTCTGCCTCGAGAAAGACTGCTCTTGTCTACAGGCCATGCAGGGCACGGTCTGTCTCACGTGCAGGAAGAGAACCTGGGAAAGCATAAAGAAAGGTGATGGATGGGGTGTCCTCCCGTCCCTACCTCAGACCTCCATCACAGCTGAGGGCAGCTGGCCAAGGGCTGGCCAGTGGGCAGGGCCAGCTCAGCAAACTCTGCTGCTTCTTCCTGTCACCTACGCGAAGTGGCTACGCACGCCGGCCCGGAAGAGAAACAACTCTTCTCTGACTGCTACCTGCCTCCCGTGCCCGACTCCTTGGCCTTCCCTGGAACTACACAAGGGCCACAGGAGCTTTCTGTGCCAGCTGGGACAGGGGCGGCAGCAGCAATGACTTGAGCAGTTGTGGCCACTGACACCCACACCCGGACAGCCTGGGAAACCAGGACAGGTGCTGCTGGTGGCTGTACCTGCCACAGACGAACCAAGGTTTCTCTCAGCACCTAGTAAAGACATCCTAACCCCTTATTTTGGACGCCAAGTGGGTAGCAAGCAGGTGAATAACTCCCAAAGTCCTCTCTATTAAATGCTTGATTCCTGCCCTTCTGGGTGGTTCACAGAAACACTACCCGTGACGTGGAAGAGAAAAGCAAGACTTCCAACAGGGTAACTTGGTAACAGTTGCGTCTTTCACTATCAGCTCCCAGCCCTAATCATCGAACCCTACCAGTCTAGCCCTTTAACCAGCAAGCTGCTTGTTGTCTTGCTTTTTTAAAGCATTCAACGAAGCCACCAGGGAACCTAAGAAATGCTTGCAGGGACGGGTGGCGTTAGCAACAATTGCCAAGGAAACTGGAATGCTGAGTGCTCAGGTCGCCCCAGGTTAGGCAAAGAAAAAATTTATTTCACAGCCTCCTGCGTTAAATGTGGAAATACCTTTTAAAAAACACACATTTTAAGTGATGCAAAATTAAATTAGGGTGGAATTAAATTAAAAACTAATTTAATGAAAGATTAGCTCTTTCTTATTAGCACTGATTACAGGATGCTCTTAATTATGCAAGTTTTAATAGATGCCTTGGAGCCATCTGCCTTGCGTGCTAAGCTTAAGAGACAGTTGTGCTAATAGCCTTCCACCCCCACAGTTCCCAAAATGCGTCAGTGTCATTTTTGGTACTTTCCACACAGACTGCAAAGACCCTCAGACACTAGCCTGTTTGGGCCTCTCATGTGACAGACAGGAGCCCTGGGGTCCTAGAGTCGTGCGGCCACACATCCTGTTATAAGAGCCAGGCCAAGCACTCAGGCCCCCAGATTCCCAAACCGTGTCCCTTCTTCTATATCCCATTTGTTTTATTTGTTTTCCTTTCTTTTTTGGTACCGGGGATCGAACTGGGGTCCTTGCGCTTGTGAGGCAGGCCACCGAACCACTGAGCTAAATCCGCAGCCCTCGTTTGTTTTATTTCTGAGGAGCAAGTAAATGTCTAAATAGATACAAGAACTTTTTTTAATTAAAAAAAAAAAGTCCCTCTGGGGGAAAGAAAAGACTTCTAAAACTGCCTTGGTTTCTGGTTACTTAAAAAATGTTCTATTTGCACAAAATTCATTTGAAATTCAGTACAGTATTCTATAAGAAAGCCTTGCGTGAAGTGGCAGTGAAGGTGGACTGGCCATTTTGCCTCAGCTTGTCTGCGTGGATTTGGAAAGGAAGGTGCAGGTGACAGGGGACCCACCAGGAACACAGCACCCAGATCCTCCCTGCCTGCTCTAAACCTCTTGAAGACACCACTTCTGGTTCTGGTTCTGGGGCATGAAGGCCTTGTCCTGGAATCCCCAAGGAGGCAGAAACTCGCTTGGGCCTGTGCCCGACTGCCTGGGGTCCCTCTGCTGCCACACAGCCCGAAAGACCATGGCCTCTAGCAGCCTCTTGAAGCACAGGGGCCTCTGAGTTCCATTCACCGACTTCTCTATTTGCAGCCTTAGTCAGAACGACCTTATCCCAAGTCACTCAGTGCCACTCGCTGCCACCCAAGAACACTGCTCCTCTGAGTTCACTGTCTGAACCAAAGCCAGCACCTGCCCTAGACTGTTAACACAGAGGGCCACGTGGCTCCTCTCCTAACATGTCACAGCAGCCTGCAGGAGGGCACTCATGCCCAGGCCGAGCACCAGTCCAAGCATCCATACTCCTCTTCTGCCACTGTGCTTTTGGAGGCTGTGCATGTTTCCGAAGACCTCAAAAGCAGAGATCACACTCTATAGTCCCGCTGTCTCTTTGGGGTGACATAAGTGACCAGATTCATGGTCACAGGACACTTTCAATCAGAGCCCTGGCCCGTCTGGACTCACTCTGACCTCTGCTTCTTGTGGGAGAAGGAGCCCTGTCCAGGGTGGCATCTCCTGGGCTACAGCAGGAAGCCAGGGACTTGCAGTTCTGCCCGGCAAGTGGCCAAGGCTCATGGAGGGCGGATGCAGGTTCAAGGCTGAGCTGCGGCAAGTCCACGGGTGCTCCAGACTCCCACAGGCCCTCTCCTGCTGCCCACCTCTCACTGCCTTCCCTGAGACACTCGAGTCCAGCCCCTTTCCTCCCTCAGCACCTTCTGCAGGGCTAAGCCCCCACATGCTGCCTGCCCAGTCAGGGCTGCAGGGAACATGATGAGACACAGCATGGCAGCCCTGGCTGCGACTCTACAGATGCATGCTGACCAAAGCAGAGGGCAGGCTGAGAGGAGGAGGCACTGCCAGGCCCAGAAACGCACAGCTCAGCAACTGCTGTCACCCAAAAAGATGCCTCGCCAGCACTTTTCTAATCCCAAGGCGAAAATGGAACACATCCAGGCCCACGAAGCCTTCACAGCCATCCTTATCAGGTTTCCCCAGCACCCGGCCCGGGAGTGATGCCACAGGCGTCTCCTAAGGGGTTCTGGTTGCTCCTCTTGCTAAAAATGAATCCCGAGACCATAACTTCCACGTGATCACATCTGCAATAGTACTGGGCTCTTCCTCCACTAAACAACAGCTTTCAAAGTGCAAATGAAGGCCAGGTTTTAGCTCAGTGGCGAAGCGCTTGCCTAGCATGTACAGAGAAGGGCTGGATCCCTACCACTGTAACCCCCACCCCCCAACAATAATAAAGTAAGAGAGCCCACAGGAGAAAAAGCCTCTTGATTCTAAAGGTCCTCCGGGTTGGAGTTCCACACTAGGAGTGTGTTCATGACCTCTGGGAGTCAGATGGGCCTTTAAAGCATTTAATTCTGTAGATCAAGACTTTTAAAAAAAACCCATTTTATACCAACACTGTTTACAAACACATACATGAAACATCAAAAGCTCACCTTCGGAGTGGGGCGTTCTCCTCAATATCTTCCAGGGTCTCCAAGGACGATCTCTGGGAGATGAGGCGACGCCTGCAGAGAGGGAAATGCCCGAGTCAAAACAGATCCGACATTCCTGTGAACCTGAAAGGACCCTCAAAAATAAAGCCCAGGTTACAAAAACATTGGATCAGACACAAGCTGTCTTTAAGGGGCAGCCTGCCCTGTTCCCACCCTGCACGAGGGCTGCAGGTCCACCTGGCCTTGCTGCACCCTGGCCACCCTCTGCGGGGACAGGACCTTTAAGGGCTGCAAGTCCCCCGACAGAAAAGGCCAAGGCGCCTCTTGTTATACATGGTACATAACTTGGGCTCTATGTGAAGGGCTTCTAAAACTAAAGTATTTAAATACCAGGGGTTGGAACCAGTTGACTGATACATTTTTTTAGGGGGGGGATTTTTTTTTTTGGTACTGGGGATCAAACTCGGGTCATTGTGCTTGTGAGGCCGGTGGCGGAGACTGATAAATTTTTTAATTATATTAAATAAAACCTCAAAATCATAAGGATGAAATTAAATTACAATCTTTGGAAGGCCATTATCTCAAATGCAACAAAAAAGAAATTTAGGAGAACTTCTCAGACCAGTAAAAATGAATATTCAGCATTAGAATACAAAACAGTAACTCTTCTGGTTACTAAAGAATTTCACACCACCTGCTAAAACCCATCACTCTAGTTTCTTTGCCAAGCGGAAATAAGAACAGGTCACAGCTAACTAAGATTATCTGGCATGGGAGAGGGCTAGGTGGTGGTAACTTCAGCTAAGTCCATTTGAATGAGGACCTGTCCATCTCAGAGCAATGAGCTGGCAGAGGGTGTGGATGGAAAGTTCGAACAGGTCTTTACCTTAAAAAAAAAAAAAAAAAAAAAA